CAAAAAAACGGCAAAAAAACACTTGAAAATTTTCTTCAAAACCACTAGGCAAAATGCTCTCAAATATAGTATTTTATCATCTATACATGTATATGATGCACATTTTATTTTCAAAAATTTGTTATGATTGTCACATAGTTCGGCCGCCGTTTTGGATTTCTTCTAAATAGGAAGTACCGGGTAGTTTTTTTACTTATGCCACAATTACATGATAATTTTCTAATTGGCTCCATTGCATCTCTATATCAAAGAATTCAGATCAGTCACATGGTTTGGCCACCATCTTGGATTTTATGCAAAATTTACCAAATGTTTGAGCATTTGTTTCTCAAAGGTGCTTCAACTGATCAACTGGATGTTTTGTATATAACATGGCTGACTGTAGCTTCATATGAGCAAAATAAAATAATTTTGATCAGTCACAAGGTTTGGTTGGCATCTTGGATTTTGTAAAAACGGGTATTGTGAAATTACATGTACTGTATTGGTGCGATTGGGGTCAAAATTTGTATGTGCATTATACTCCTGAGATGCATTCTTTCAACTGAATGACACATGGCTAGGTCATGTGACTGTGCACCAATGGGGTGTGGACTTATAACCTCATCAAAATGCATAACTGTTATATCTTAAGCACTGTTGCAGAACAGGACATGTACCCAGTGCCATAATGAAGACATCAAACAAAAGATGTAACTAACATAAGAGATGGTCGTATATGATCATGTAACCTCATTAATATGCATAACCATATGGCTCATATATATTCTGAAAACCTTATCTTGATAGCCAAACCAAGTAAATGCATAGAACCAACTGCATTTCGACTGCATGGTACAGATCATTCAAACTATCCTAATGGCAATTCAGTTATCTCATTGATTATGGAATAGATGTCTTATAGCTTGGGCTTTGCTTGCGGCTCTAATCGTGACTATTTTGGTATGATGTCAATATGCAAATACCCAGAATTCATTCATTTTTCAATGAATTGTACTTCTGGACATTATAAGAATATTGACTTAAAAAACTTGGGGTCACCAGCTCAATTTTTGAGAAAATGATGGTTTTATTTTAGTGGATATTTGCCATTTTGTCAGACTATAATGTTTTTACCATAGATTCCTATGGTAGAGATATTATGCCTTGTCTCAAATTGTAGCCTGGTGACATAGGCTGAAAAAATATGTTGTTAATGACAGGGTACTTTTTGTTTTCCTGAATTATTTTAAAAATCTGGGTTTTAAAAAGTGTTGAAAAAAGCAATTTTTATTAACATTATGCTCTATGGAATTGTTCTAAAAATAGCAATTTATGAAAAATATTAACCCAATTTTCTCAAAATACCTCACTGCAACACACAAAAGAATGCTATTTTATGGTGCCATGGGACGATAGCTTCATGATTTTTCCTAACAGACTAATGAACATTGTCATGGGATTATTATAAGTAGGCTTCTACCTTAAGCAGGCTGGGTTTATGTCAAATACTTCCAGAATGTATCAAGTTGGATATGCTTGTTTTGTATGTAGTCAAAATAAAGAGCAGTTTATGGCCAAAGTTGTGGCAAGCAGAATGATTGTAATTTTTAACAAGAAGTGCTGTCATGATGCAATGAAAGGAAGGCGTCATCTTTATGCTGGTTAAATGATTTAAATTCAAAATGAAGTCAGACTCCAAGCAGTAGAATTGCATGAAGTACATACCATACTGGACCGAGTTAGTGCCCATGCCCGATCACATTCGGCAAAATGCCACTATTTTAAAACTTGGTCTTTGATCATTACGAATATTGGTAATCATTTTTTTATATGATACAGTGTAGATATCGACTGCCGGGAATATGTTGTGAATGTGTAGACCTTGATAACCGTGCATAAATTATGCTACGACAATGACTTGGGTTTCATGCCATATTCAGTTACCTATAAAAAATTGCTGATTACCAGATTTTTGAACAAGCAGCCTATCGGCTGAGATAGCTCCGCTGTTAGAAATGCACATTTCAATTAAAGAATTGAAGACATCATCAGAAAATGAACAATATGTATAGTATCAAAGCAATCGGACTTACAGTTTTTAACAAGAAGTCGAAACTATCACTTTCTACCAAAAATGACTAAAATATTCACCAAAATTAGAGAATTGAAGATATCATCACGAAATGAACAAATCTGAGAAAGTTCTACATGTAGTATCTATATATGTAATATCAAAGCAATTGAACTTTTGGTTTTTAACAAGAAGTCGAAAATATCACTTTTTACCAAATATGACAAAAATATTCACCAAAATTATAGAATCCAAGATATCATCACGAAATGAACAAATCTGAGAAAGGTCTACATGTAGTATCTAAATATGTAATATCAAAGC